CGTCGGCCATAGAGATCTTGGAATAAAAAATAAGAATGATTTTTTATCCGAATCCTGAAAATGCTCTTTAAGAGACTCTAGACTTGACAGATTTAGAAATGATTTATAAGTCTAAGTATTATTGTATTAATTATTAAATTAATTGCTTTCGACTATTCTTGTCGCGTATACCGTGCTCACTTATTATTTTATTATTTCCCAACAGGTTTATAATTTTCTAGAAATACAAACAATAAAGCAATCTAATTAATATGTTGTTAAAATTCATGTCTCGTACTATGTTCTTTGTATTGAACGTGCCCATGCGCCGGCGCAACACTTGCACAATCACTGCTTTAAAGTGTAAATTTATACTTATTTATATTTTATGAGAGATTTATGGAAAATATATAACGAAACCTTTTTTACTATAATTAACAATAATATTACCTTATCGTCTAAAATGATTTATTATTTATTAAGCTTTATAACCTAAGGTCGAGGTAATTATATTTTAATAAAGCCATCTTTAAATTAGAAATCTCTATTTGAAATAAAACATGGAAAAAGCAGCCGTTGCCGGTTCTTCTCAGCACAAGATACCGTAGATTCCTGAAACAATGGCGTGGTATTTCGATGTTTACAAGTATTTGTAACATCCTATATTGATTAAATAATTTTGAGATTTTATCACTAGTTTCAATTGGATGATTTTTTTCAATGGATATTCTCATATTCGTTCTCTGATTCATCATCATCATCGGCTCTTTTACGTCCTCACTGCAAGGGCTCAGGTCTTCCTTATGGATGGCTAAGGAGGATGGGCCATGAGCCTCCACTCTGGACCAATGCGGTTTGGAGGGTATTAACGACTGCAAATGCAGCCGGGACCAACGACATAATGTGCCTTTCGAAGCACGAAGTAGCTCAAGATAATTTTTTTTTGTCACCCATCCCGTGATCAACCCTTGCGAAAGTCGCTTAACAACAACGATTGCGGGCCTCGGCGCTTATCCTTTACGTCACCGAGCTACAGCTACAGTTTTCACAATATTCTAAAAATCCCTGCAGTCAGGTTTTTAGACGCCTCAGCCTCAGTGGCCTTGCAGTATACTGTATATGTCCCCAAATATGGCAGAAGGCAAGAGTGCCTTCTGCCATATTTGCCGTACAGTGAGAGTACTGCCACTATTAAGAGCATAAGCGACTTTTTGCAGTAATAATATGATGGTTGCAATTTCCACTCATTTAAAAATCTTTAAGATAAGATACGTAATGATAGAAACGTTTTGAGACTGCTTTATTTGTAAATGTTGAAACGATTCAACAGTTCTTGTTTAAATTTTATTCACTATCATATTGATTAAATACTAATGCGATGAAATCGTTTAACCTGTTTCATTTATATCTACTAACAGTTTAGGCTGAATATTTTTTCACTGTCAATCCTTACTGCGACTTTATATACATTTTCAAACGTTCCCTGCCAATTCAGTTTTGATCATAAGTTTTGCAATACCAAATCTTCATCAAAACATTGTAATCTACTGATGGAATTTCATAAATGATTTTCGCGAAATACATTTATGATGTGGTATACATTATAAAAGTTATCTATATATTTAAATCATTTATTTTAGAAATTAAATTTCGTATTTGGATTGTTAAATTGGAGCAAAACCGATAAAAATCAAGAAGATTTATGAAACTCACTCTGTTAAATTTTAATATAAGTAATACAAAATGGATAGATTCATTATCACCAACCTATAAACTTAACGACCGTATTGCAGACCGAATGCGCTTACTACTGCGTTATTGAGCTCCTCTGAGGTTATCTTTGCTTTACCGTAAAGAAGAAGGATTTGAATATTTCAATTTTATTGTAATTTGAATCCTGAAAATTGTACCTATCTTATTTGTCTCATGTTTGTACCAGAATAAATAATTCATTCATTCATTTATATTTCTTTATATTTAGTAGGCTCTGAATCTACCGGATAGATTTCTTTCAGGAAGCTAGATTATGTTTTACAGTTTTCTTACAATATCTAATCAGCATAAATGTGTATGACATACATTTTATGGTTTTTAGTAATTTATTTACCATAAAATTAACATAGATTACATAATGGCAAGTCATAATGATCACAAGTATTAAATCAAGTAATTTTATCGATAAATATGAATCCATAATCCACACATAACAAGGTCGGCTTTCCCAACTAGTTAAGAAATGTGTGGTCACTATTTTTCGCACCGCTGTACCAAGGTCGTTCTATGAGCTCGTTAAGTAGGTTAAGGTCCCGAGAACGAGTATTTTTTTTTTGTTTAATTAATACTTTTTAAGTAACGGAAGTTGCGTCGTATTCGCATCCTAACAATTTAAGAACTATTCAAACTAAGCCGTCGGTTTGTATACGAACAAATCTGTACTAATATTATAAAGCTGAAGAGTTTATTTGTTTGCGCGCTAATCTCAGGTCAAAATTTTCAGGTTAAAATTAATAGTCAAAATTTAAATATTCTCTAAATAAACCAAAATTTTTGCATAAGTATATTAACAATGAACACATTTTCTTATTATAAAAATAAATTGCTGTTCGTTTAATATAAAAAAAAAATTCAAATCGATATTATTGAAAATTAGCATAGAAAATATTGTTTTATAAAAAAGTTTACCGCTTTAAGCATTTTTAAATGTTGCCCCCTTATCTCAAATCACGCTTTAAATTTCTCTCATCTACGCATGATCTCTCGCTTCGCTCTTCTAATAACTTACGATTGTTCATTCCTCCCAATCTCACTAAATTCAATAGTCAATCCTTTACAGTACACGCTATAAAACTGTGGAACTCTCTACCTGAATCTATCAGACGGGCGAATTCGTTAAACTCCTTCAAATATCAATTAAAATCCCATTTCCTCTCTAACGTTTAGCCTGCTCTTCTATTTTTCTATTTACACTTCTCGCTTTCTGGTTGTCACTTGTGTTTTGAGCATTTTGTTTGTCTCCATGTACTTTTTTTTTTTAATTTTTTTTTTATGCACAATCTGCCATCTAATGTTTGTTTTTTTTTTCTCCATCCAATGCAAGGTTGCCTGGAAGAAATCGCTGCCTAGCGATAAGGCCGCCTTTTGTACATTTTCATGTATTCATTTATGTTTGTTAATGTAATTTTAATATGGTTTGTACAATAAAGAGTATTTATTATTATTATTATTATTTAAGTGATCGCACATAATATATTTCATCTACCATACATTTTAGTTTTTCACAGAATTATAATATAGCATGGTCAATGCAAGATTGATTTAAAACATGTTATATATCAAGTTCAAACTAAAATAAATATCATCATCAAATATTGTAATAAAAAAATTGTAATAAAATTTTCAATTGTTTATTTTTACAAAGATTTCTAGAACATTAATAAGAGAAAAAGTTACACCACATTCTTGTTCATTATAAAATAAACGTGTGATAGGCCTGAAGCAACTTCCTGGCATTGACTCTGAATAAAAAACGAGCACAAGTTCAAGCCGGTGAAAGCATCACAGAGCGCCCTCTACACGATTTGTGCGGCACTACTTTAATAACTTACAAGGTATTTACTACAAAGATTCATCTCCACATATCGAAACATGCAATGTTGTGCAGATTTTAATCATATTTAATACAGGCCATTATAACTTGTGAATTATTAATAAAAGTTTGTAATTAGTTTCTGCATATCATGTTATAATGTCTCTTTTCAATTTGTATTTTGTCCTTTTAGATAAGTCTCGTAATCGTAAATGGTTTTGATATAATTTTGATATAATTTATCGAATTTACGTAATCGTAAATTCGATAAATTATATCAAAACCAAGTGCGTCTCTTCAATAAAATTTTGGCCCAGAGGGAAGGTGAATAAGGTTTATCCAGGTCAAGATGGATACGAACCGTAGACGCGCAAACTAAGGCAGGAAACCTTAAGCCTGTAATTCGGATGTTAATTTACGTTGACGAGTGTCTATCCCAGAGTTAATCAGTGCTTACACTGGGGAGTGTGGAAGACAGACAGTGGCCATTGGCCTTTGGAAATCGATTTTATATGTTATGTTTTTAATGTCTCTTATGAATTTTTAGACAGGTGTCATGTTCGATATAAAGGAATCCTTCACTAAATTATATCAAAACCAAGTGCGTGTCTTCAATAACTGGTAACGTCATTACCACTTACACTTTTGAACTGAACTGACACTGAAATATTATACTCTTTTCAGGTATCGAGTATATTTAATAAGTTGTCTATAAACATGACTGGCATAATGATATAAATAATTTGGAAAGCTTAATACAAAATTATAAATAGGTAACTATTTTTAATTAGAAATTCTTAATATTATCATCGTCCTTTTTTATCAGAAAACATGATCTTTATATTCGGACATACCCAAATACGGCCAAGGTATAATTGTTATTATAATAATGTGAATATTAGAAGCGCAAGGCTGTCCGAAGGTCCGGAGATAAGTTGCAAAACGCTATCTCATGTGAAACCGGTCCGTAGTTTCGGCACTCAATGTTGAGACACAATGATTCTGTGTTGCACAACTTTAAATAAATGCTATGTTTAGCAGTTCGTTCATAAATTTTAATATTGATTTCCTTTCTGCTGATCTATAGACGAATCATTTTAATTCGAAAATATTTTTATATGAATATTTATATAATAATGATAAAACCAAAACCTATTTCACAAAAAAAAACATCTAAAGTATTAAAATGTTTCATTATTTAATTTATGGAAATGTAAAAGTTCTAAAAACTGTGTTCTTAGATGGAAAACGTCCCCGGACTTTGAACTGTACAACCAATTTCAATCTATTCACGCAATGAAAAAAAAAACTCAATTTATTTAACAGTAAAGTCTAGTTTCGAATGTCGCAATGCTGGCGTTTGCGTCCTTGTGGCCGTGTGGGAGAAAGAAGCCTTCTGATTGGTAAGGGCGCGCGCGATTTTCAATTGCGGTCGAACGAGCGGCTCGCGCGCACTTTCGCACAAGCTCGCCTCAGGTTTTCGCTTTCATTCGTAGAAATGAGATGCGCGCGCGTCTGAGATTCAAGTCCGACTTTATTTCCTAATCGGAAATATGAACGCGTTGTCATACCAAAGAATTCGGTAGTGGTATCAAAGAAAACACGTTAAAATAATGTTTTAAATTTATATTGAAATTTAAAAAAATATATTACACATTAAATACAAGTTAATACTTTGTTAAGTCGTTTTGTATTATTGAAGAAAAATGAATAAAAATAAATGATCTTCCTGTAAAAATTCAAATGTAATTTTTTTGTTGCAGGTGATAGGTGTTCCTAAAAAGTTGCCCTTGCATCGCTAAGTAACTTTAGAATTGCTAACGACCGTTAGTGGTGTGAAGTGTAGTGTAGTGATTGCAAAACTAATAGTGAAGTGTTCATAGAACTTCAGTCAAAATGTCGGGTTTCGTGAAGATCGCCATCGACGACTACTATTCTGACAGCAATTGGACAACGATTATAACGAAATATTGGATGTTGGCTGAGAGGGTATCAGGTAAGCAGTATTATAATATTCTATATCTTAATATTATATGTAAATGTGAAAGTCGGTATTTCTTTCAATGGAAAGACACAACATATAAATGAATAAATATATATCTTATCTATAAAATGCAATTATAAGCTCTCTTGATAATATTGAAATATTATGATCTCTCAATAGGTCGGAGAAAAGTCTTTTTGTATATAGTATACATAAACTTGTAATAAAATCTTTCTGGCATTACCTTTTGAATCTGGCTGGTATCAGTATATCAGTTTAAATTTTTAAGAAGATAGCTCCGAATTCGAATTAGGAAATGTGTGACTTTCATTTGTTTTTCTTGCTGTCAAAATGAGTGAATCTTATAAAGTACAAAAAAGATAAAAATACAAAGCAAGACGCGAAACATATTTGTGACGTTTATGCACCTAGTGCAGTTTCTGTAAGAGTAGCACAAATTCGGTTTAAGCGTTTTCTGTCTGGAAATTTTAATGTCACCCTGTTGTGGATAAAATGGATGTAATTTTTGAAAAAGTGAAGCAAAGTCGACATTTCAGTAGTTACGACTTAGTTGAAGAACCAGGAGTTGATCACAAAACAGTTTTGAAGCATTTGTACAAAGCTATACAAAAAAGTTGGTTATTCGGGTACCTCACGAGCTGAAAGAAAAAAACCTAATGAACCGTGTACTCATTTGTGATTCATTATTATGGCGTGATGAAACCGAATCAGTGTTGAAGAAGCTGATAACTGGTGATGAAAAGTGGATCACATACGACAAGAACGTGCGAAAAAAGTCCTGGTTAAACGTCGGTTAGGCTTCACAGACTGTGGCAAAACCCGGGTTAACTCGCAGCAAGGTAATGCAGGGTGTATGGTGGAATTGGAAGGGCATTTTCCATTATGAGCTTTTATCGCCAGGCAGGACCATCGATTCTGAACTCTACTGCGAACAACTGATGAGATTAAAGCAAGAATTTAGAGAAAGCGGCCAGAATTAATCAATAGAAGGGCTGTGGTTTTTTATCATGATAACGCTAGACCACACACATATTTTACCACTTAGCAATAATTAAGAGAGTTTGGCTGGGAGGTATTAATGCATCCACCGTTTAGTCTTGACCTTCATCTTTGAATTTCCACCTGTTTCCGTCTCTTCAGAATTCTTTAAGCAATGTCAGGTTAACATCTCACGAGGACTGCCAATACCACTTTTTGATCACAGAAGCCCCAAAATTTCTATTGTAATGGGATCATGTCCCTACCTACAAGATGGCAAAAAGTTATCAGACAAAACCTACATTTCCTACATACTTTAGATAAATGTAAATAAACTTTATTAAAAAAAATTAAATGTTCGTATAAAATGCGAAGAAACTTTTCCCTAACCAATTATTAATGACTCATCGTTATTATGTAGCTGTCAAAAAATATGTATACGTAGTTTTTTATATATGAGATGTTCATATTGTTGGAGAACTCAACTTTAGATTAAATAGGATAATTCCTGATAATTAATAACTCAAATCCATAGAACAAGTCTGTTCAAAATTATTTTAGTAATAACGACATCTAGATGTTAGATCGCAAGATCTACTTAATATTGTTGACCCTATAGATCACATATATACCCCGTCATCATCATCAGTTTGTTTGTCACTTAAAGATTTGTTTATTTTTTATTCTACATACATTATTCATTTATCAAACGATCATTAAGAGTTTACCTATTTTAATTAAAATTAAGTGCTTATCATTTATAGGAAAGGTTTTATTATCTTTTATTTATATCACAAGAGTAAAAAAAATAGAAAAGAATAACTTAGGTAACAAATATCACATAGGTAGTTAACATATACTTCATGCGTAAGCTTTCGACTCTACAAATTAAAATTAAAATTAATAAATATCTAAATATTAATAAAATTAATAGAAACTGATTTCTCCAAAAATTACAAAGTTAGTCAAACAAAATTATCTTGAACATCAAAATTAATACGATTCCAATCGTAGAAAGTGTTTTGACTTATTAAATTAAACAACTTTAAAAATAAAAGGTTAAAAAGTATCAAGCCTAAAATTTTGCAGTTCTCTTTGACTTGATACATAAATCATATATAATCGCCTACGCTAGAAACTGCTCTGTTAAAATTTCTAAAATATTAGAAACTTAATTCAAATTTCGAATTCAAATCTGTTAATTTTTTTTCTATTTCTACGCTGATGCAAATGAGGTTGCATAGCAACACTGGCCTGCAAGTGAGTTAAGTTGTGTATGTAGCTTCAACTATTTGATACATTATATCCATAACATAAACATGTACCACTATAGTAAAGTTACTATTAATGGTATTTAATAATTTCCGCAAACTAACGCGAAGTAAAAGGTTGTATATAATCAATGATACGGTGCCTACATCATAATAAACTTTCTAAATGGTTATATGAAACACCATTGATGCCTGCATCCGAGATATTTCTGTATTTATCTAGAGTCACTTAAGACGTTTGATTTTTGAGTAATACTTATTCTAAGATGAATATTGAAAGATATTTTTGTGTCGATTTCATTTTAAAATAATATATATATTTATAAATCTTCTTTTTCTTTAAAAAAACGTAATCATGAGTGTCGTTATGGCTCTGGCGGATTCGGTTATCTGCAAATTATTCTAGAATATCAATTAGCAGAGACCGGATATAAGAGAAAACTAGAAACTGAACGATTAAAAAATAGAAAATAATAAATTTGAAAAAATGTTATATTGCTATCATTATAACATTTATTCAAAAGTATCTTTCAATTTTTTCTTAATTCAGTCCTATGTCTGAAGGCGCCATTTTACTTTTTGATCCAACAGTTCAATTAGTGTATTTGCTTACATCATCTTTTAGCTGCAAAAAAAACTTTTAGTAAAACCTACTACAAACTTAAAGAAGTTATAAATAATATTTATCTTAAAGGCGACGTATTCAAAAACATGATATTGAAGTTGGGCGTAAGTTTCTGTAGGTTATGACTTAAATGATAGGCGCCCGAATTCAATAGCATTTTAATAAATAAGTTGCTTTTGACATTTTTTTTTTAAAGTAAGAAGTCGATTCTACCTCTATTTTTTTAAATTAGTTTTTGTTTCATGCTTTTAGTGATATTGATTTTTTTTTAATACAAAACATATTAAATATCTGTAAAGATAAAAATATTCAACAAAGTGAAAATCCTAGAAGAGGAGATTTTGTTTATATGCTCGGCATATTTTTTCCAATAATCTATACTAATATTATAAAGAAGAAAAAATTGTTTGTTTGTTTGTTTGCATCGAATAGACGCCGAAACTGCTGGACAGATTTTCAAAATTCTTTCACCTACGGGAAGCTACGTTATATTTTATCATCTTAATGAGAAGTTTAAAATATTTCATTCGGCTGTTTGGATGGACTGCCTGAACATTGATGAAAATACGCTCACAAATAACAAAGTGCTTGACAACATTCGTCAGTTCTTTTGGATCCTGGGTAGCTCAATGGTTGGAGCAGTCACCCGAATTGCGAAATATCGAGGGTTGAGTCCTTTCTCGGGGTATCTGGGACTGGAGGATTTTATTAAACATTTTACATTAAGAAATTTAAATGTAAAATATTCACGCGAGGCTGAGCGTGTCACTAGTTCTCATCGTTTTATTATATGGTAAAAAGGCAAATTATGTTGGAACTTATGTTTAGTATTGATTTGTAGTTATCAAGTTATGTGACAGTGGGCCAAGGCTCTATCGGAAAGTGGCAAGTAGATGGTAATTAACACATTAAACGCGTGAACAATAGCCGGCTACTCACGCTCTCGGGACGCGATAAACTTTTTGCGAAGTTCAAGTTTATATTTATCAATTGTTTTACATAACTTCGTACCGGGTACCATTTTAGCAGACTAATGAAGAAATTTCCAATATGTATATTTTATTAATTTGATATAAATATATAGCTTGAAAATTCAGTTAATGGCTGACATTTCGTGTACAAAATAATAATAATATTTTTTTACAGACACAACAGAAAAGAGACAAATACATAAATGTCTTACATAAACATAGTGAAAAAGGCTGCCTTATCACTTGATAGCTATTTCGACAAACTAAGAATTTACGGAAATTTACATAGGTACTAATAATTCGTTTTTAAAATACTAAAGGATTTAAATATTGCGGTAAACTTATTTTAAAGTCATACATGCTTAATGAAAACATGATAAAGATCAGTATCAAACGACTCAAAAAAGGAGTTTGGTTTGGTTAACTGCTGTATTATTATTTCGTGTATTATTTTTTTATATTAGCTGGTTTTAGATTTTTCACTGTAATCATTACAATGACGTATGTTGTTTAGAATTTGAGCAAGTCACGAAATTTCTCACAACACTCATTCACTTTTGTAATGTTTTATATAAAAGCTCTTTTTTTAAATAAAGACTATTCTTATCGCGTTGATGTCTTTTGCTTTAAAGTGTGATAACGTGTCCAGAAAAAAGATTCACTGTTTACTATTCATTGTTAATCACTGATCGAATTATCGCCATTATAATGTAGATGGTACCGAATTGTAAAATTGAGCACAAAAAACATACGTTAAATTTATGAATATAAATATTATAATTAATATTAAATGAATATACGGAGTATCATAATAGGGACGAAATTTTCGTTTGTAAAAAAAATATACTTATCTATTATTTTTCTATTATGTAACTGACGAACTAAATAGAATTTCTTTTTTTGGGTAAAAAAAACAGAGTTCGCCATCCCTATAGGATCATGTAAGTGATGAGAGGAACTCAAGGCGTATTACGACAAAGAACTTTAATTTTTAAGTGTTTTTAAAGGCGGTTTTATTTAAAAACTATTTTTTTTCAAGTAAGTTAAGCTTCCATAAATTATATCTTTAAAACCACTGCGACTTTGAAGGAACTTATACAGTTACCTTATTTTAAAATTAATCACAAACACGACATACAGACGTACATGCACATACGCTTATATGCATGTACGTCGGTATGTCTGTGACATATACATATACGCTTACAAAATTTATCACAGGTGTCTACATAGATGAATATTGTGCGATTTCAACTAAATTATATACATACAGGCGAGATTCTTTTTTGTGTAGGCGGTTAAAAATGATGGATATTTCTTGTGAATCAATGAACGTTTATTTTTATTATATTTTGATGATATTACTGAAGATTATTAACGTAAATAACATCCAAATTTGCTGTAAGATTTATTCAGAATAGGGATGACGACTAGGTAAGAAAAATGCAATTGTATTTAATCCGTCAGTCAGATAATCGAAAAATATTAGATACGTATTTTTTTTTTACTTCAATTTAACAAGAAATTGATTAGATAACAGGCATTAAAGTTAAGGAGTGGGGGCTCGCTACGTCACAGTTTAGTAGAAAACGTACCATAACGTGACGTCATGCGAAATTTCAACTCCATGTAACGCCGCAATTTTATGATTGCAAAAAAAATAAAAAAATACGTGTGTAATATTTTTTAACACTCTACCTGACGGACAAACAAACAAAAATTAGTCGTCGTCCCTATTATTGTTGTAATGATCAAATGAAGCAGATAAATCAATATACTAACTCAGTTTGCCGACATGCTTGCCACTGAATAGAGATTTAGTTTTAATGAGTAGCTATATTTAATTGTTTATTTCCATGCGTCATACTCTAGACTACATGTAATGAGGCGTAGATCATGTCTGCGCTCTATAGCTAAATAATCGACAAATCTTAGCAGTAGTCGAGTAAATTTACTGATTTATCTTCATCGTCAGCCTATCAATTGCTGAAGCACAGGTTTTCCCTTTAGATGATATCGAACCAAATAGGCAAAAATAAAAGTTCGATTCGCGTATTATAACTACAAAATTCTATATATATGTCAAGTAATTAACATAATCGCAGTGTTATTTTGTTATAAACAGCCCCAAACTCATCATCGAACGTAGCGCGTCATAGAAGTTCAATCGATAGACAAATTAAAATTTATTTAAAAGGTAATAGAGGTTTTATTTTGTTGAAGTTCTAAGATGTGACTGAGCCTGCGTTAGACGACGAGTTCAAGGATATTATAACAGAATAACATAGCTGCTTTTAACTTTTATTAAATGAAACAAACACTTAAAATTCATTTCATTTCAATTAAATATTTAAATCAATTTTTACTTAATATTGAATAAATAACTAATAGCTAACCTTAAAATAATAATTCAGTTGCTACTATTTCAAAGACTTCCAAACTAAAGTCTGTCTTATTCAAAAAGCACCGTCTTTTTAGCACCACATTATATTAACTTAATTATCTCAAAAAAAAAATCATATTCATGTGATACTTTTGAGTTAACTGCTATAGAAAGTGGAGTCTGTTCGGCCTACACAGTAAACGAACTATATCTTGTTCTCTTTGTAATAAGAACCTCTTATTAGCTTTGATAAATATATTTTGCTTCATATTTTAATTAATACTGACTAATTCTTTTTGTAATACCTCTTGAATCTTGTTAGTATAACATAGATAAATTAATGTTTTCTGATAAAGAAATACATAACCTATTTATTGCGTTAATTTGATGCTTAGTAATGTACTATTCGTTTTTAAAATAAAAACTCATTTTTTTCATTCACATTAAGCCGTAATTAATGAGACTATTATGGTTCAATGTTACACGCCTGTCCTATTCTATTTTGGAAGAGGCAACGCGTGAAGAAAGTGAAGCAGTCAATTCACTCGTTTCTTCATCGACTATCATATCATAATTACTCGTAAGTACAGTAATAAAATTAAATACTTCCGTCGCAATTGATTTAACAGCCTTCAAAACAATCAGTTTTAGTATTTGTATAAACTAATTAAATGTACTTTAAGAGGAAAGTAACCGTATTCCTAATATGTTTTTTTTTTCAAAAGATCCTCTTGGATTATATTTAGATTTGAAGTCACAATTATATTTTTATACTTGTTTAATGGTGCCAACATTGAACTTAAGATGTCTAAAATTAGAAAATTTTATTGTGAAAACATGAAACCTTTTCTATTATTAAAAAAAGGTAACGTTTCTATCCGTCTTTATTTGTATAGGAAAGTCTTCGGAAATAATAATGCGATTCGATTATAAACGGACGTTTCAGTACCAGGACAACATAACTTAATGAAAACTTTATCTAACAACAAACGATATAATCATAGCCTATCTCCCTATATTATAAAGGTCAATTATAATGGCAACGACCGTGATAACACGTGAAAATTCAGCTTTTACGATTCGAGTACAATTCGTATTCATTTGTTTTCACTTTGCTGATGGATCTATACAGAAAGGCGGCATTGCCGGCGGGAGTTGACCTATGCAAAGCGACCGGCAAGTGTAGCTCGGAATCGATGTGTAATTATCGTCTGCGGCACACAGAGCTGGGTATCAATTCTGATAATATCAATTGCATAAAAATCGCATATCTCAACTACTTGCATTTTGTCACTATCACTATCTACCTGAAGTTCAATATTATTGCAATGTTGTCCTCACAAATCAATGGTGATATATATCTATATTTATTATTTTGTGATCCAATGATAAGAACTGGGCTGTAGTTGAAGCGCTATTGACTTTCCATAATTACAATATTGGTAACTAGGAGGTAGTTACAATAAGAACTTTTATAACTTTTCGATGAATTCGTTATTGTACAATTTTGTCAGGTTAAAAGTACTTATACTTAAGCACTGAATCTGTGAAATTCATACACTGATGATGATTAGTGGTCAAAATTAGCGGTTTTAACAGTTCAGATTCATTTAGGATATTGTTGAGGCCAAATTCAATATCTTATTGGATACTTATTCCATATATTTCCATGAAGGTTCTTGTCAATTTGACGGACTTGTCTTGTCGATTTGACTATTGATATGACTATTTTGACGATATAATTCGAAGTTGTGTTTTTGGCAACCTTATCGATCAGATCAGACAAAAAATATTTAATCATAACCCAACGGAAATACACTTTAGTTGGGCGAGACCAGGGCTCGCCAACTAGTGGTTGGTCTATCTATTAAAACCCGAGAAACCCTCTATGAGGGTACGACCCGGGATCCAAGCAAGGAGACCTAAAGGTTCAACCGAACTTGACGTCCTAATCAAGTCCTGATCAAGGCCTCCATAGTCGGAGCTGTCTTTTAGTCGTGTTTACTACCATTAAATCAGCCATTGGGTCTTTGATCAGATAATGAATTTGATTATTATGTATTAATTGGTTGCTTTGTTTCCAGATCCCAGAGTGCAGGGATGGTTCCTATTCGACACGCCGCTGCCGACCCTCGTGATGGTCGTCATATACCTCAGCTTCGTGATGGTGGCCGGTCCACTGTGGATGGCCAACAAGAAACCATACCAGATCAAGAATACTCTAGTCGTGTACAATGCATTCCAAGTTCTATTATCACTTTACATGTTCTATGAGGTAAGGATTATATCTGTATTTATTACAACTGTTTTTCTACGATTTCTTCTGAGTATATTTAAGTTTTAAAATCGTTTCAGTAATAAATTTCGTAAGCTATTCGATGCAAATAAACATCTTTATAAAATTATTAAAAATACACTAAATATTAATTAGATAACTAACTACATTAAAAATATTTTTTTCCAGTTATGTTGTCTTAAATTTCATGGTCATTGTTTTAAAAAAATCTCCTTTACTCTCATTAACATGGATAATATAGGCTATTATTTACGTGGACTAATTCACCGGAATACAGCAAGTAATAAATAAAAATATAATACAATAATGAAAGCGATAAAATTATTTTATAGCTTTATTTATTATTGTATTGTTTTGTTTAATGATGCATTATGCCACAGAAGATTCTAAGATATATTTTATGTTTTATGCTTTTTGATTATTTTTATTTATATAATGTTTAACCTTCACCTTTCACCTTCGTCTTTATTTATTATTTTCTACTTTAGACTACATTAACAGCTTAAAAAATATGTAGGTAAATATAAAATAACCTTATGTTATACGCCATTCAATTCCGTAAGTGTAACACAATCTTACGCGGTCTGATCTTGATAAAAGATTAAAAAAAGGAACAACTTAATTTTGTTTTTTTGCTAGATTTGCTAGGTGACAAAATGTTAAAAATATTTCTGTCATGAACCGTTAACGAAAATAAATCTAATGGAGTAATTTTCTTCCTTGATACGTTAAATAACTTAAAGACTATAATTTAAGTTCCAAAAAACAATAGAATATCGAAGCTAATATAATAAAAGAAATATGAAAAGCAAAAAATATGAGGTTTAGACAACTTAATTCTCAAAATTCAGTTATAATTTTATTAAATCCGAAATGCAGATAGGATCAGTATGATTTGATCGACTAATATTAAGTTTGATATCCTTTAAAAGTAAGTAGCGACATCTATTTTTATTTCGAGAATTTCATCATTGTATATAAATGAATTCCGATAGGTTGATACAGTTACTGGGAAATGCGTACCCGCTCCCCCCTTACGCGGGTTCGGCGGGTTATGTGGTACTCTCCCTTGTGAACTCACCCCAGAATGGGACAAGTCAAATTACTGCGAAATATCCACTATAACCCAGCGATGTCCCTCTCCATGGAGGCGATGCATGGGAACAACCCGAAGACCACTTCCCGAGCCGTTAACTCCTATTTCGGCCCACCACTTACGGGGCCGATCCTACTGTGGGTTGACAGGGCAACCACTACCCCCAGACAGGGCAGGGGCGTTCAATGCCCGGCTAGCACGGAAACAAACCGGACTGCCCCCGACTTAGATACCTATATGAAGTTTGATCAGTCGCACAGCAGATACGCGGCAATAATTCTATAAATTTAAGAGACATCTTCTTTAACGGCAACAAAACACTTGAGAACGAGTAATAGGTCTGACGACTGGATAAAACAAAAGAAATTATATTTAATCAGTCCGATGATTAGAAATATATTATATACGTATTTTTTGCTTCAATTAAAACTAGGACTTGAGGAGTGAAGGCTCATTACGTCACAGTTTTGTAGAAAATGTGCAAAAGCGTGACGTGACGAATAATTAATTAATTACGCAAAAAAACGTGTTTAATATTTTTCAATATTAATTTTATTTTAATTATATTTCGTCTACCTGACGGACCAACAAACAACCCTATTCATAAATAGCAATCGGTGACAATAGTATTGCGCACAAATGTAGTAAGTGTTTTGTAACAATTCAAGATAGTTTTCCGATGTCAAGGAGCATTGTTAAGCCATTTAGTCGACCAAGCACCCATGACGTACTACTTGCTACTCGAAACTTCACCTTAAAACGAAAGGAGTTACGTAAAATTTTAAATAACAATTGCGAGAATGAAGAAAGAAAGAAAAACAAGAAGAATGCTCTGCAATACTTTTTTCTAGATGTACTGCAATAAACAATTGCCGTCTTGTATTATTTTTCCGTTTACATAATTACTTGTAAAGAAATGTTTTAAGTTTATATGACAATATTTACATATTAATATGCTTCAAATTTCAACTATAAACTATTTTATTGGAACTTTTTTATATTAGTCGGTGAACATTCACGACCACTGCTGTTGCTAATACACAAAAAAGTTAAAATTCAAAACTAATTATATCAACATTACACAACGGATATTAACTACATTATGTAACCTTAACCAGTATATCACATAGGTTCTATTCCAATCCCCTTTCTTTTCAACATGGCGGATAAGATCTCGAATCATTTTCGCAAGAGGTCCTCTTATTTATTCTAAAACATCAGCATATTAATAAGAGGCATATTTTTATGTTACCAGCACCTGATGTCAGGATGGTGGGGTGACTACAGCCTCTCCTGTCAGCCAGTAGACTACAGTGACAGCGACAAAGCGAGACGGGTGAGTTATGACACTATTCATACAACATTACACTTACATTTGTTCAATATTTAAGAAGTTTAAGGTATTGCTCATTGGATATCATATAAGTGCCTCCAGCAGATATTCCTTAGCTTTGGCATCAATGAAAATTTGCCGCTTAGGTGCCAGACTAGATCAGTATGACACCTGGCATTCATCATCAGCCCTTTTACGTCCCCACTGCAGGGGCTCAGGCCTTCCTTATGGATGGTTAAGGAGGATGGGCCATGACCCTCCACCCTGGCCCAATGCGGATTGGAGGGTATTAACGACTGCAAACGCAGCCGAAACCAACGGCTTAACGTGCCTTCCGAAGCACGGAGTAGCTCGAGATAATAACCCGTGACCGACCCTTGCGAAAGTTGCTTAACGACAACAATCGCGGGCCGCGGCGCTTATACACTACGCCACTGAGCTACTCTGGTTACACCTGGCATGCTGGATTATTTAAACCTATTTCTTTTGGTGACGGCTTGGCGGCAACATGTCTACGTTGTAATACAATTTGTTATGTATTGTCTGTGTCATGGAGTCATAATTCATTATAGCTGATAATGTCAGACCTCCTAACTTTATTTAAAACGATTAGGATATGAAAATGTGTAGCACTTGTGCCCCTTGTGAATACTATAACTGCTCTACCAATAAAAATATGAGAATAATTCTTAAACGGTCGTCCAATATTTGATCTGATACTCAAACAGTTCGTCCATTATTCCAAAACTGCTCATCTAAATGTTTCAAATAGATCCTCCAATACTATGAAGCGCTTCTTCAATATTACAAACTGCTCTTTCACTCATTCACATGTGAGTGAAAGGTAGTTTGTGAAAATTTAATGGTATCGAATTGTTTTTTTCTAATCAGTTTTAATGTATTGTGTAGTAAGTCTGTGTTGATAAGTCCATTCCTGAATAGTCTACTCAAATATTGCTATTATAGCATGAAATTACCGATATTTATTTATCTAATGTTCTTTGTGAATCGATTGTATCGTATCGTAATCGTAGAAAAATCAAAACTAACGCATTAACTATATAACTACATATACCTCGAAAATGAAAAAGAAAAATACTATATTCAAATAAGCTAATTACAAGCACTTTTGAATCGTCCAAAATTTTTTCCCTACCACTCGTTTACAGCGTCTCTTCGCTGACAAAAAAAAACAAGTGAAAAGACATTTACATCTCTCATATTATTACCACAATAATACGCAATCAATACGAAAACAACACAAATCTTTATAAACAAAATGTATTTATCTTAGATGAACTGTTATGTGATTATCACTAGTAGAGAATTCACTATCGGCATTACAAAGAAAACCTCAATAGGTAGATATGTTTTTTTCTACACATTTTAGACTCAAACGAATTATTCACAGTCATTGTAGTCCCATTCACACACAATGGCAACTTTCATTTGCTCATGACTAAGATATTTTTAAGCACGATTGAATTATATGTCATCTAGAATGCGCTCGCAGTTCAAATTACATACCTTTAGTGTTCATTTGAAATCTGACTTATTTTATAACGGTTCTAATCCTAAATAAGAAATCAATGGAATTATTGAGGACTCCGTGTCCGAATGACGGACTCTATGGCCTGGTTCGGACGCCGGGTTCAAGATGTCACCATCTTAGAGTAAAAAAAAAACTAAATAAGTAATTATTCAATGCCAATTTAAAATGATCTTTTCTATAATTTCTCGTGTCTTGGTGTTGTAGAAAGCTTAATTGTTTGATTTACATAATAACAGTGCTTACGATATATAATTTGGGAACTGAGCAATATATGTGATGCTCTTATTCTTATTTATTTATTTAATAGTATTGTCTCCATAATTGTGAGTACGAGAAAGAAAATATTTAAATATTATTATTTAAATATTTTCTTTCTCGTACTCAAAAAATATGGGTTCGAATTTTATGAGCTGCGATGATAATTTCCTCAGAATTTTTTCTATAATAAAAATAATAATATAGCATTTAATTGCATTTTTTATTAAATATAGTTATCTATTTAGAATTTTTTAAATTCGTCAGATAACTAATTGGGTCAGCTTATATCATATTATATATATAAGTAGCTCGGTGGCGTAGTGGATAAACGCCGCGGCCCACGATTGTTGTCGTTAAGCAACTTTCGCAAGGGTCGGTCACGGGATGGGTGACCAAAAAAATTATTATCTCGAGCTACTCCGTGCTTCGGAAGGCACGTTAAGCCGTTGGTCCCGGCTGCATTTGCAGTCGTTAATACCCTCCAATCCGCATTGGGCCAGCGTGGAGGGTCGTGGCCCATCCTCCTTAACCATCCATAAGGAAGGCCTGAGCCCCTGCAGTGGGGACGTAAAAAGGTTGATGAGGATATCATATTCCACTTATATAAATAATTAAGGCATGATGATTGGATACTTAATTTAACTTAATGATGTATTAAATCATTAAGTTAAATTAAATATCCAATAATATTGACGATCACAATATTTCATAATGAAATCAAATTAGATATGCCATGATTGAAAATATTATATAACAATCCACATATGCCATTCACACTTGCTTAGTAATGCTCTCAATAGCTTGGTCCAAGTCTTCACTAAAACGGCACCATCTCTCTTCATTATAATGCATTGAAATGCTTAGAAAGCGAGCTTCGAGTCACCACAAGATAACGGTCAAAGACAAATTATTACGCAGATGTTACGTCAACCACTCATTTATTGCTTAACGACCACATGGTACTTTCACAGATCTAATATTACAATTGCCATTGCAAATTACGAACGGTAAATTTTTTTAAAATGTGTAATTTGACTTTTAGATTGTGGCTTGATTTTTAGTGCTGGCATGTTCTTTGCAGATAGAACTCCGTAATTTACAATAAACTTCTTTAGATAAACTTAACATGATTCACTAACAAAATAACAGTAAAATAAATGTTACTATTATGCGCATGATTTTTGTCTATTCTGACATTTTGTTACTTAAAGCCCACGCCACACTTCGCTGTGGCTGAGTCTAATATACTCGGTATAAAAGAATATAAATTTTATTTAAACGACTTAAAAAAGGAGGCAATCATAGATAAATTCAATAATTTTATTCATTTTTTTCAATATACAATCAATTCAATTCTCAAACTTCTTTTTCTGTTTTGTGAACTCTTTTAAAAATAACCAACACCAGGTAACCTGAAATGGAACTGGAGAGAGATGGGATTGTAAATTAAAGTAGTTGAAATGATTTATTTCTAAGTACATTATATTATTATGAATATATTTTGATTTTACAAAAAAAGAAAATCCTTGATAATGTCCCACCAAATCCCACTAAAATCTATGGCTTTACAAGGCCATGATTAATAATTTATTTAGGCGTAAAAATAAGCAGAATGACGTGACACATCTGCGTTATCTCTTTATTCTCTGACGTCGGTCAAGTTCGCAACGGCACTGCCTTCACGGCACACCTTGGTAACTTTCAAAAGGCCGCCGTTGAGTATACATAATATGTAATATGTTAAGAGAAATTCTAATTTTGGATACAGATGATGGCTTTTCGCTGGTTTGTTAATTACTTATATAAAGTGTACGTACGTAATATGAAAAATGGGCTTCTTTGTATTAAAAAAATAAAGAATACAAATGCGTTTCCTATTATTATGATAAGGCAGTTCAGGATCATTATAGCTTTCTGCTTTACTTATTAATCTACAGTGTTATTCTGTTATACAACAGCTTAGAACTTATCGTGGAACGCAACGTTGTCATATAAAAAGTTTCAATTAAATAAAATCTACTTTAAAAGGTGATGAAGGTTTTATTTCATTGAAGCTTTATGACTTAATCATCAAAATTTCAAATTTAATTATTTATTGAATAGGATATATAAATATTCATATACTAAAAATGTGCTTCGATTTTTTGTAAAATGAAAATTTATATCGTTATTATAAAATTCTGAAAGATCTATAACTATCAATCTCAATGTGTCAATTTATTTAAATGAGACTTGATTACCGAACGCGTTTATCTATACTAAAGAACCAGTCGCTTTTTCAAGATGATAAATTTAGCATTGATGGATATGAAGTTTTAGAAAATTAGACGAACAATAAAAAATATTTATAATTCAATATATATAAAATAACATAAGAATAAAATACATTTTTAAATAATACTCGATTTCTGGCATTTTTAAGATTTATCTTAATTGAGAAAGCAAAATAATAATAATAATAATGAAACTGCTTTAAGCTATTTTTCAACAAAAAATAATTAGACGATAATTTTTTTTTTTTAAAAACTTGCGCCATCGAGAGATCATAATTTATTAAATATTTATGTAAATAAAAATACATTTGCCTTGTACAAGAATACGAATGTTCTATTTGTATTAATGAAATAAAAAAAAAGGTTACATTTCACTGTTAATATTCAAACAAACAAGTTAACGAACAGACATGCTAATATTCCTTTGGTTCGAAGATAAAAAATAAAGATATTAATCCAAGAAAACATTTTTTTTATATAATTTCACGTATAAGTAACATTTTACTCAAACAATTGTTTCGTTTACGAGATTAGCCCGCTTTCACACGACACCTGGACAAAAACAAATTAGAAAGAAACACATGTCATTTGTTTCAGGTTCTATGGTTACATTTTTAGCGCATCATCCAAAACTGGCTTCTTACCACACAAATTTCACTTATAATTTTATTAACTTGTATTTTTTTAATTTGAAAAACCAGTTCTCAAAAGTAAGTGAAGGTTAACGGACCAGTGAATACCGTATTCATTAATTTACTACTAGAATAATTCAGTAAATTAATTTTATTTATAATTTATATGATATTTTCCCGAGACGTTCCAGAACCTATTCAATGGACATAAAAATTTACTAATAAACTTTTAATGAAAACACTTTTAGAAATTAGTGTATATGAAAAGAGCGGCCTTAAAAATTAATTCAAATATCTAGGCTTATATTATTATTATATTTACTTTATGTCTCATCCCCATCAATATAACTTATTTTCGTTTTATATATGGCAAGTGGACGTCTTCTTGCCATATATAAAACAAAAATCTACAAACAATTCATCGTTATTTAAAAAACGTGACTCATTAAATCTATAATTTGTACTTTCACGAAAAGATTACTTCGTATAATAATGGACCATAACTCAGGTTCGTCGGTATGATACGTAATGAATTTCATTAGCACCGTTTACTTCAACAAAAGGCTTCTATTTGATACAAAAAAAGAGAGAAAAAACATTTTTTACATTCAAACAGAAACTGAATCTAACCATAATAAATTTAAGCCTGACATCTTTATACATATACTACTTTTAATATTAGTTGTGACTAGAAAAAATAAAAAAATGAGATATAATCCTCAGAATATGTTCATCGTGATCTTCATCATCAGCTTACTCACCCTATGGATGGTGGAGGGAGAATGCACCCATTATACAGGCCCAGTGCGGATTATTGCGTATTAATGACTGCACACGCAGCTGGGGCCAACGGTTTAATGTGTCGTCCGTAATGCCGAATAACTCGATATAACAAATTTTTGGTCACCCATCAAATGACCGACTGCGAATAGTCTAACCCTTGCTTTATCAAGCTCCTCAATAGAACAAGAATCTAATAAGTAGAATAGGATAGGATATGATCCTTGTTTCTGTGTGATTTATATTCTGTGGAAGCGCCAAGATAGTACTAGTTATACAAACGATTAGTAGTCATTGTTTACGTAACTATAAAACAATGGTTACTTTTAATTTAAAATGTCTGGAAACTATTGATGACGCTGATTTTGCGCTTAAAAAATACAAACAATACATATTTATTACAAAAAACGTATCTCTAAAAATTGACCTTGTTAAATAACGTACAGTAGGTAATACCTATAGATATAATATGTATTCAATTCAATGAATCTATTACAACCTATTACAACTAAACAAAATATTTTCTTTACACAACAAATACTCATATCACCCACTGATGGCATTCCAATCGATTTTAAAAACACCGCTTTTGACAGTTTCACTTTCAAAACTGCGTAGCACGTGACGTAAGGCGGCTTGACCCATGAGAGAGCTTTCACTGCGCGCGCGCAAGTTCAATGTTCACATAACGGTGTCAAGAACGGCGTCGCCCTTGTCCTTCAGATTTTAAAGCCAATTTTTCGTGATCGTGTTACCAGATAGCGAAACTAGATGGCGTTAAGATAAATAAAACATTGATTTTGGTTATAACATTAGGGTTCCACTGAGGGTTCTAACAGAAAAACTGTGTTAATTTCATATTACTTGTATTAAATATATTTCTTACTTTTTAACTGCTTCAATCTAATGTTATCAATAGACTTAAAATGATCAAAATTTGTATATATTTTTTGGTAATGAGATAAAATAATAAAACATAAGAATAGTTAAGCTAAAATAAATAAAATTTACACACTACTAAGTCAGTAGAGTCAATAAATCACTTAGTACTTAACAATTACTAAATATTATCCATTGTTAAAATTACAAAATCATATAATTATGTTTCAGGCGTTGCATAGTGTTATTAATAACGTACTTAAAATGTACTAAAACGGACATATTATTTCAGATGTTACATCTTTGCTGGGTTTACTACTTCTCGAAGTTATCAGAATTCGCCGACACGATGTTCTTCGTGTTGAGGAAGAAAAAGAGTCAGATCACCTGGTTACACCTTTACCACCACTCGCTCACCCCGTTCGAAGCATGGTTACTTGTTAAGTTCATTGCTGGTAAGTTCCCTTACACCTACATTTTCCTCTCCTAGTAAACCAAGCCTCTATAGGTACAAGACTAATAGGTCGCTTAGGATATTATCGGGTTTAACAAATCGATTAAAAGAAATGGCATTTAATGGAGATTAAATAATAAAAATGTCTTTATATCAATCCGAATATGAGACTAATAGAAGTACCTAGAATAATCAAGTTACAAATCATAAGCTTACTCCATTGATAAAGACACAAGAAGAAAAGCGCCATACATAACCCACCACCTATATTTGAGAGTGGACTGAAGAAATCTGACGAATTTAAATGCAGTAGATAATATTGACTTAATATGCACTTCATGTAGGACAAATGAGCGTATTAAAAAACAACATTCTGATAACTCGCTATCAGGAGAGATATGATATGAGAGATAAAGACATTTTTAACTGACATAAAAGAACATTTAAAGCACTAATAACTGCCCGTTCAAGCTTCTGTATCATGTAAAGATGTCCATTTGATTAGCGGTGAATGCAGCTGAAGCCGCTGCGATATAGCTATAATAGTGGTATCAAAATCTTTAAAAACCTGTTACATAATCAACTATTCTTGTTAATATGTGTTTAACGAATCAATTTTTATTAATAATTAATCTTTAGAATATTAAAGCTTTATACTAAAATTATCTAATCCTCCGTGAAACAGAGAAAGTTCTCTACATTTTTTCAATTTCAAATTCTGGATAAAGAGCGTGATAAGCATATGCCTCCAAGCATGGGTTTTTGTTTAATTGAATGTTGATCCTTGACCATTTGTCTACTATAGGCCATTTGAAATAAATCTTGTTTTCACTTTTACTAAATCTAACTTCCATAGCAGTGTGATTCGATTCCCAGTCGAATCAATGTAGAAAATGGACTTTTCTATATTGTCTCGAGTCTGGGTGTTGGGGTACCTTCGTTGTCTTCGATACTTCATAATACGCGGCTTTAACTACTTGGCTTGGAATCTGAGCAATGTATAAGTTATTTATTATTTATTTATTTATTTTTCAAGGCGGTCACGGCACATTCTCCAACATCGTGAACAATTTGGTGCACATCATCATGTACAGTTATTACATGGTAGCCGCTATGGGTCCGCAGTACCAGAAGTACCTCTGGTGGAAGAAACACCTTACCACCCTTCAACTAGTAAGTATATTTTTGGATAACATTTAAACAAATATTGAAATATACGATTGTTTTTATTAAGGCCGAGGAAAACTTCCTGAACTCCGGTAAAGTTTAGAAAATTGTTTATAATTTGAAAAGTATATTATTCGGGATAGCTTTATTAGATAAGGTACACTTTTATTAGAGATTTATGTATGGAGTGTGACATTATCGTAAAACGTAGACATTTAATCCCGAAGGAGAAAGAGAGAGAGATTGAAGTACGTAAAGAAAACGTGATAAAAGAGTATGAAAGAATGCATCGGAAGAGAAAGAAAAGTAAAAAAAAGTTAAAGATAATTGATCATTGAAACTGGTCAAGAGCGACGTACTCGCGTTAATTGTGAAAATAGATAACAAAAGAGAATCACGCTTAAATATTGTTCATGATTTTTTTATACGATTCTGAATGAATGAAGACAACGGATATCACGCTGATGAAGCCACGCATTGATATAAATTATATTATTATGATTGGCATCATACAAAATGCTATGATAGAATCTATAATGCCAATAAACTAACAGATAAATTAACAGAAAATAATGCGTAAAATTCTACACGTGAAGTGTATGTGTGAATTATACATTTTTAAATAATATTTTGTTTAAAAGCCTACAAATGAAAAGCACGTCAGGTCCCACCGGATATTTAGATTGCACTCAAACAAGAAGAAAGAGCGTTGTCTTCAAATATTGCTAAGCCAATATTGTGAAAAGACAGAAAAATGTTTACTCTCACCGTCTTCCTGTAATGTAATACCTACTAAGATTTTCCTGTATTAATTTTCGTCCTTTAACCTAAGTCTGTAATATGGTTAGAGAAACGGTATATTCGAAATCTAACCTCATCGTTCATTCATGAAAAACCGAGCTACCTATCTGTTATAAATATTATAAGGTTAATTATAATATTTATAACTGATAGGTAGTGGAGTGATAGGAGTTTGAAAAGAAAGGGCTCAAAGGAAATATATATTATAATAAAAATATATACACGTATATACATATATTTTTATTCTGTTATAATATTTTTTTATTAAAAAAATACCCTAGTTTCTTCTTAGGATTATAAAAAATTTATCGCGAATGGCTATTTAAGCTTAAGAGATAGACAGGCATATATATTCGCGTTTATACGTTATTGTAGAATAAGGATATTTCTGATAGTGTTGCATACTAAGGTAACCTAACCTTATTTAAAAATCAATTGGAAAAATTCTAAATTTTCAATATGCATAGTTTTTTTTTGTTCTTTTCATAGTTAATTATATTATTAGACGATATTTTAAAGCACATTGTATTCCTCTGTAGCTACCAAAGTTATTGAGTACAAAAAAGTGATAAACAGTTTATACCTAGTTAAACCTTATTCGCTCTACTTCATCACTAACAATTACAATCTGGCAAATTGCATATATTTCGCAACATTATCAAGACTCAACAAGATTGTCACGGTTCGTTCTACCATAATAATTCCTTACAACAAACATGTTACAAGTCAACTGTGGAATTGCATTATATTTTACGACGGACAATGCTATTCTGTTATAGAGTCAGTCGAACTCGACACCGAGACCGAGCACAAAGCTCAGAGATTCAGACAAATAAAACCTACTTGAAATAGCAATAAAAGTTTTATTTCATTACACCTCTATGCTGTGACACGGCTGTATCGAGCGTAGTAGCCCTGACGTATTCGAGACAAATTTTATTATTGAATAGTACATTTGTAGGAAGCTCCAAGTAGGTTTTATCAACTCCTAACCCTTCAACTATCATCATGATGCTTCAAGTAACTGAATGAACACAGAAAGAAATATTTTTTTTAATAAAACAAAAAACTTAAAAACGTTGCTAGGCATATCATTGCTTCTTAGTTACACCCTTTGTACAAATATTTACATACAGTTGACATAGTGTTAAATTACTTATGTACATAAAAGTTTCAAACATTCGTTGAATGATAATCAAATTCAAAATTAGCAGTAGAAATTCAGTAATAGAAATTTTCGGGTTGATTCAAGTGCACTCAATGTTAAACACACAATACTGAAGTAGAGTATTTTTTAATTCATTACAATGTCAAGCAAATCAATATTTAGTGAGGGTACCGGAGGCCCAACCCCTCCCTATTCCCTTCCCTCTACAACTCAACCCTTCCCTCCCTATGATCATATTCGTCCCTCAAAGGCCGGCAGCGCGCTTGTAGTTCCTCTGGTGTTGCAGGTGTCCATGGGCGATGGTAATCACTTACCATCAGGTGATCCGTCTGCTCGTCTGCCACCTATTCCATAAAATATATATATATATATATATATATATATATATATATATATATATATATATATATATATATATATATATATATATATATATATAAATGTAGTGGCGCAGTAAACTCAGTGTACTGTGTACCTGACTAGTATAGTGCTCAAGAATTGTGTTTTACATTAAAAATACACCCAATGCCAAAGTAATATTATCAGAATATTCCCCAAGGACGTATGGAGTAACCAATAAATTCCATACATGTTTTTATACGTTGCCAACAACACCAATAAGGATAGTACACGCCGCGCCTTAAATGCCACTCGCCGGGGATCAACTCTTGCGCAAACCGATAGGATATTCTATCAACGAGTGCGTAATACTGCGGTAAAATACGTATAAAATTTATTTTCAATTTTTTATAACAATTGAACACAGGAAATAAATTCCATTAATTAATACGTCAATAATAGTTCGTTGTGAAATCATTACTGACGCTTCAATTCATTAAATTTCTCGCCTTTCAGAGATTAAACGCCTTTAGATATTACAAGCTGTTTTCACGCGACTTCCCAGTGTGAATTATAGCCAGTGTAATCCGCTTATGATGTAGCAGCCTGTATTTTTTTTTTATCGATCCATATGTTTCACAGCAAAAAAGCAATCAAGTGTTTTCCCTTTCAAACAATTAATCCGAATAAAGATTGTCAAGCTCCACGATTATTTACTATTAAAATATAAAATATTGTTTGAAATACCTACGTCAATTATATTCATTTTATTCTTTATTACATATTGAAGGTCGCATAATTAAGGCACGCTGAAGATAGTGGAGTTAGACCTTGGCCTAGAGGGAAGAAAGTAGGTTTATCTATATAATCAAGTACATCAATTTAAAAAAATATTTATGAAGAAGTTGAAACTGTTTGTTTACACTACTTCTTTTTGAAAATATTATTTATTATTGATTTTTTTTATCAAAAATGCGTTGAGTAATTGATGGGTTACTAGTTTTATTGTAAAGGTTTGTTTACTGCGAACTTATGAAAATCGCAAATCTGCACCTTAAGTCAAACAAGGCTAAGGCCAAGGCTTTGGGTTACCACAAAAGGCTTTTATCAGTCCCTCATTTATCTCATATTAATCGCAATTTCTTTCAATAAGACATTTTAATGATATTCTCGTACTTCACGCTACAACTATTTGACATGTGATAGTGTTTGCGATCGTAACCTTTTTGGTATGATATTGAATTTGAATTGTCTAGAGCAAGGGTTAGACGCAAATATTTTGGAAGGCGAAATGTCAAACGAAATGCTATCGGTAATCTTTGGACGGGTTTAGGTAACTTCATATTGTGTTTTTGATTATTCGTTCCAAAAGCAATTGCTACTTTACAAGATACGTAATTCTATAAATCGCTATACTTTTGACAGGGATTAGGATTGATTTTAAAATGAGACAATTAGGTAGCCCACAGATAAATAAAACTAATCACACTTTAAAAGGTTTCACCACTCTTATAATATATTTACTTTCATGACGTTTCGAACCCATTACAGGTTCCGTGTTCACTTAAGACTAAGGTGTCGATTGTCTTTTTTTTTAATTATGAGCATAGCTACTTTAAAAACAAAACTATTAGACACATTCGCAATACAAACCTTAAAAAGTAGTTTAATTTAATGAGTAGCGGGAAAATATAAGAAATCAGTGAGAAATCAGTAGCCCATAGATGTTCTTACTTAGAGAAATTTGACCTTTGATAGACATGGTGTTTATTGTACAAACGGCCGCCGCTCACCGTCCCCGTGGCCTACGCAGCAACTAACTCGTTCAAGCAACATTTTAAGACTTGGTGAATTTCGACACCGGCACCGGCCGGCACACTCCGGAACGCTATATCCTTTCTCTGCAATTCAACGCGTTCCGTTCGACATGTTAAAATTAATTGTGCTACTTATTTACTCGTTGGCTCATATCGTATGACGAATTAAGGCGAGGTTGTACGAAATTATCATTTTTTAAACCAATTTTATTCTAAAGCTATTTTTGCCAATTAAAAAGCATTTTAAGAAAATTAAATATGTAATCAATTTTCTACAAACAGCATAAATTTCAATAACTGGCTCGATAGAAAAAAAATCGCAAAGATGGTTGTACTAAATAGATTTTTCGGAGGGCTTTACGACTAATATACGAGTATTTCATCTTAACTTTATAAAAAATAAATACATAAATGGTGTTTTTATAAAGTATAGAATTTCTTTTTAAAACTGCATTTGTTTTTTTTGCTGTGACTAAAATTATATGAGCGCATTCATTCCCGAGTCTCGATGCGTATTTGTATGGGAACTTAGGCGGAGTTACAAGAAGGTCTTAATAGTTTTTTGGTCCTACTTACATTGTGAATGTGAAAATACACAGCCTAGGGTGACCATAACAGGATTCAAATCCAATCGCAATGCTCTAAACATCAGTCTTGCCCTAACGCAGTGGTTACTAATAATAATAATAATATAATCACACACATACAGACAGGAAAACAAAACGAAATTACATGGTAAAACAATACTGAGTACACAAAAGGCGGCCTTATTGCTAAACAGCAATATCTTCCAGGCGACCTATGGAGAAGAATAATGAAAGGAAAGGGAAAATATGGGGTATTGGGTGCAATGGTCAGAAGGATATGATAAGATATATCTTTACATATTAAATAAGAAAGTATAAGTTAATAGCATTAGCATAGAGAAAGGAAATAGCTTTCAACTCGCTCTCAAAAATTGCTGTAAGAATATAGTGAGGCACATTCATTGCCTGATATCCTCCGGGAGAGAATTCCATAAATGAACAGCATGTACAGAAAAGGAATAGGAGAAGAAATCGGAAGTATGACGCGGGATATCCAAAGTGAGGTTGGATGAGGATCGCAAGGAACTCGGTGACGAAGAAGAACGAAAAGAGAAACATTGTTTAAGATAATGTGGAGGGTAGGAAAAGTGTAGAATATAGTAACTTTAAAATGTGTAAGTCCCTGCGCCGGCACAAGGTCAAATTTACGAAGGTTGAAAATGAATCGGATACAAATATACTGCAGACGCTCTAATTTGTAGAGATGTTCCTCCGATAGATCCGTGTAACAAACATCGAATGCATCAAAGAGACTTAATTAACCCTGAAGAGGTAGATCAGCTGTTGTGTGGGTGTAACAAAGTACCTTATCATTGACCGAATTTGTAAAAACAGCTAAATCATGTTCCAAAAAGTTTGTAACAAGAAATTTCTTTTATAACGATAGCTATATTATAACACCAATGACAAAAGAACATCGTAGTCATATACCAATGATCATACAAAACAAACTCTTGTATTAGCACATTTCAAATATTTATTTGATACCCTATACGGAATGATTGAATAATATATATTTTTTTAAGTTTTTTCTTTGTGCTCTCTAGAGGGCGCTGTTGCCAATGTAATATAACATCACATAGCGTATAGCACGCGGACAACTGAGTCACTTCTAATGATACCTAATTTTTACAGTTACGATGAGTAGCTTCGAAGTTATAAGGGAACATATGAACAGTATATATGTATATTAACATTCTAATATACATATATACCGGCCAAATCATAACCCTCCTTTTCACTTCGCCTTAGTTGGGTAAAAATAATAAAACCTTAATTAACTACTTGACGGTAACTAATCGCCCTAGAGACTTAAATCCGAAATCGTGAATACTAACTGATTTTCGACACGTAATCTTTCCTTCAATGGAGTATATAGAATTTAAGTAAATAGAAGAAATAGAATAGAATTTAAGTAAAGTATAAAAATCTTCTTCATTATTAAGAATCTCCATTGTTTTTAAATTCATGTTATGAATAATTATGATTTAATTGAATATAACAAGACCAAGGTTAGTAGTAGGTTATTACATACTGAGTTTTAATTAACGCTGTTAAAATGCAATCATGAATACTTTGAATTTAGTGTAGCATTGACATACATTGATATTTTTATTTCAATACATCCTGTATATGTATGGTAAAACATAGATACTTGAATATTACTTACGCCATTCATTTAATAGAAATGTTTTACCATAACACGTAACCAAATACCGAGTCTTGATGGATCCTTTATTCAGTAAAAAAGTACTCTCATAATTTGCTTGATTCAGATGCAGAACAGAGGGTCCGAGTTTTCGTTTAATGTTAACGTTTACTTTAAAATTTCAATATAGACACCTACACAGTATCCCTAGTGATAAATATCAAGAATTATCAGTTTATATAGATAAATTCTAATATTATAAAACTCGAAGCCATGTTTTAATGCTGTAAGCGGACGAGGTGTAACTTTTTGCTTTATTTGGGTGGAAAAATAATCATGTAATCCTTTGATTTAATTTGAAATTACAATTTTGCTAATCATACGAGTATACTCTGTAATTGAGCACAATGGAAAAAAAATTGTTTTGTGATATATATGTACTAGTAATAAACGAGTAGGTACTCGGGCCATCTCCATTACGATATTAATGAAACATGTATTCGGATTTATTAAAACTGAACGGATTGGTTGTAACACCGAATGAAACGTGATTATATCACGTAGACTATACAAATTACAATTGAATGCCGTTGTAAACGCAACTGAGAATGAACATAGATTTTTATTAACTAAAAGAAGTCTCAAAACTGTCTTAAAGATAAAATATACCAATAGACCCCAATTCAGATAACTTATAATGTACATGATCTAAATAACTAACCAATGAAGCCTCCGTACTTTAATCACACTATTCATCTGTTAACTGAATAGTCAATTTTATAATTGTGTCAGCATTATTTTAAATAATAAATGCACTTGATGTGTTTTGTACTTACATTTTCACATGCTGAATCAGTTAGTCAGCCGGTGGAAATCTAGTAGGGCGAGTGCCCTGATTTTAGTCAATTTAACATTTGGACCCAGTTTTGCCTAGTTTGAGAGTGATGATGAATTGATCTTTGATATATCACAGATATCACCGCTATAAATTTTGTCATAATTGAACATTTGAAGTACCGTCCAAGGTAAAGTAAATTTGGCTATTTGTTTGTTACAACACATTGAAGTCGCAAAAAGCCAAGTGGCTGTGGCTAAAATCGGGTTATCTGCCCTAATGATGCTAATTATTTTTAGTGATAAAATTGAAAAACTACATATTTATAGGTATAACTTACAACCCCACAAGATTTATGACATGAGTTTCCATTTGATTATCTCATCTGTTATATTTTTTGTCTTTATTTAATTAATAGTTTGTTTGCTGAATATATAGATAGATAGAATATTCTTTATTGCACACACAAAGACAAAATACACTTATATGACAAAAACAGGAGACGTACAATTGGCGGCCTTATCACTAAAAGTGATTTCTTCCAGGCAACCTTGGGATGGAGTTAAATATAAAAGACAGAAAAATATGTTTGAATTTCAGTTCTATTTTTCCTGCTGCATCTGCTCTTAGAAAAATATTTCGGACTGACATAAGCTCTCTACTTACAATATTTATAAAGGGTCGTTTTATAAAATATCATATTTCTCATTTCAGGTCCAATTCTTCATGGTACTGTTCCACTCATTGAGCGCACTTATATATGACTGTGGATATCCAAAGTAAGTAATATATTTAATTAATCTCTTTGATAAAAGTTTGGAATAAGAAATGTATTTTATAACGTCAGATATTTTATAATATTACCAACCAAAGGACAGCTTAGTCGTATGCCACAATAATTTGTATTGTTAAGATCATTGGCATACGACACCACTGTCCTTCTGTCATCGCTATTATAATATACCTATCGCTATAAAATAAATTTCTTGTTTCAAACTTTTAGAGCGTGATTTAGCTGTTTCAATTTCCAAGTGTATTAAAGAAAAACCTTTACTCTATGCTCAGGGCGTTATTGCTATTTTAATGTAACTTCACATAGCCTTTAGCAGGCGAACAACTAAGACGCTTCTAATGACCCCTCATTTGTCCAGTTACGACGAGTAGTTTCGAAGTCATAAGAGAACAGATGAACATTCTTACAAACATGCACATTTCGCTTCGTTGTAGTCGGGTAAAAACACAGTATAAAAATATATATATATATATATAACATTATCAGCCTATTAATACCCTGATATAATTCACAATTCGGTACAGTGCAGATCGCGGTGGATGGATCTTTAACTACTGCAAATGCACATAGCATTGATAACGGCTTAACGTACCCTCTGAAATGTAGAGACATCCATGTACAGTTATGTGGGCAAGAAATAAAGGACAACAAATGACTGAGTGTTAGATTAGTAAGTTAGGACTCTCGTGTGGCACGTCCTGTGTGTAAAGAGGTTAGATTGGAACTCCAGTGTTTTCATCATCATCACCAGCCTATTAATATCCTACTGCATGGTAAAAATTCCCAATGGATGGAATCGACCAAAATTGAATAGGGCCATAACCTACCACATCGGCTAAGTGCGGATCGGTGTGCATGTAGCCAGTCTAACGTGCCCATCGGAGCACGGAGGAGCTCGGGTTAATAAATATTTGGTCACCCATCCTATGACTGGCCTTTGTGAAAGTTGCTTAACAAGCGTACCGCAGAATGAGCGCGCTAACTCTGCGCTGTCAAATTCCTCTGTTCTAATTGCTTTAAAAAATTTGCCATGACTCCACTCTACACTACCTACATGACTCTATCATACATCTATTTACCCAAATAGTCTTAATTATGAACTACTTGCTGTTTTCCCGCGATTTATATGTAACCAAAGATACACCCCACAAACAAAGTAAGACTTCACTTTTATCATAATAGTATAGATAAATACGAATAGTAGTATGAAGTAACAATAAACAAAAAAGTAATACCAATCATAAATTTAATGAACATGAAATCCTATTGGAACTGTTTCGACAGACATCAATGGAAGAAAAAAGAAACTCATAAAAAAAACCATTGGCGAAAATGTTACCATCTAAAGTTGCAACAATCCCCATTATTTGCAAAGGCCTGAATCATTCCAGCTAATAATGTCGCAAAACTAGAGTGCAGTGCAACACCGAATCAGAGGCAATCGTGTAGAACACTGTCACAACTATGTTATACTAAAGAACGCTTTTGGCACTCTCTAAAGTAATAGTGTATTTATTTAAATTAGAAAACCAAATATCTATATCGTATCCCTAGTTGAGTTTGTGAATCGATTGACGAATGAACTATTTTTGCATTATATATATTGTAAAGGAAAATCATTTTTCTATTTTGATATCTGTATGCAATTAGATAGGGAGAAAAAAGCAGTCTTTTGCTGAGTTTTACACCAGTTCTTGTTGGTACAAGGTCTCCCACGTTAGATTTACGACTCGATGGCATAGAGTTTCGACTTTCACGAGTGCTTATAACAGCTTAGGCTGAATAAATTATTTTATCTAAGTTTGTTTTAAATATTTTATTTTTTATTCAGGATCATCGCATCAGGCCTCATGCTTCACTCGACGATATTCATCGTGCTTTTCATGAATTTCTACATTCAAGCTTACAAAAAAGAGAACACCAAAGTGGCCAAAGTCAGGATCAACGAAAACAACAACACGATACCCAACGGACACGCCAAAATGAACCATATGAACGGCGAATGCAACGGTCATATGAGACCCATTGAAGATTCGAACAAAGCCAACGGTTATACGACCAATGGATTCACCAAGTGTGACCTAAACGGCATCGGGACGAGTCCAACCACCATCACAGATAAAGAAAAAGTTCATTAGCATCTAAATTTAAACCTTCTGTAAAGGCTGATGAGAGTTGATATTATATCAAAACTTTCGTGAATCATAGGATGAACAAGTGAAAGTTTTTAGCTGGAGGCTTACCATAACCTTTTATTAACAAATTTTGAGTGTTCCGAATCGATATGTCATTAATGTTTGTGAGGAAAGTGTATAATATATTGTTTTCAAAAGTTGTTAATATTTCAACACTCAATGTAACATGTACATTATTATATTATAACTGTACAGTTTTATAAGTAAAACAATTAACATGTAAACTGATATTCCACAGAAAACTTATGTTATGTTAAAACTTGTAAATAATTACTTTTTTAAAGTCTTCCAGCATGTTCAAAATAAGCGTTATGGTTTTCATTACAACATGTTACATCTGAATTTTTTGTCGAAATTTTTTATGCTGAATCATAACATGAAACTATGTGGAATATCTCTACTTTCGTATGTAACGTTGTTGTTCCAAATGACTAGCAGATTGAATGTATGAACTACCTCATAACCGATCCCTCTCTAAGTCTTACACTTCCGTCCGTTCAGCTTTATTTAGTTTTAGGTAAAAATAATTTGTACATATATTATTCTTAAATTATTTTTTGTTCATATAGGTAATGTGAAAGCGAAACATTATTTTTTCTAATACCGAAATGGGATTTATTGAAATTCGAGATTATCTTTCTTTTTGTCGACTAAAAAATTAAAAAAATTAGATGAGATTTGGAGTTATGGATAGAATAAAAATATCGCTTAACGATGTCATATAAATTTCTTTACATTCATTTTTTTATATTTGTATGTAAATTCTTGCCTCACGTTCTAGCTACTTTCCAAAATGAAAATAAATTAACGATGTACGATATATAATGTACGATATAACAAATTTATTCTATAGTATTCCATAGAGAAAATTTGTTTATCTAATTAATAAATAAATGAAACGCATTATATTTTCATTTATACAGTTACACCAGAAATTATTATGAAAATATTTGTGATAACCCTGTGCAAAAGCATGGTCATAATAGATAATTGTATCGGATAGTAAATGCTATTTTTTTTTATTTTTATTATAGGTTAGTAAAATTATAACTCGAGTTGGTAAACAAGAAGTTCTTATGGAAACAAAAATGCCAATGTTGATTACATACCAGTCAATTTTAGAAGAAAATAAATGTATTTTGTATAGAACTAGAATAAATACATTAGGTTTGTAAATAACGGTTAATTGCTACTTAGCATAATAAAAATGTGTACCCTTTTCGTTCTTAATTTTTAAGAATATTGAGATTTTTATTGATTTTATGAAATATAAAAAGGGATCAAATTTTCTTTTGGTTTTTTTATTTCAAAATATAAAATATAGAATTTTGAAGAAAAATATAAAAATATAGCCTATGTACCCCGCGTATGAAGTATTTTTTTTATCGATCCAGAACTTCTGAAGCCTATTGAATGCAAAGTAACAAACGATCAAATCTTTCCTCTCTATAATAATAGTTTAATCTGTATATTGGATAAAATATGTCACGCAAATAAACTAAATCTCCTTTCCTATTACTTTCACTATGTTTACATATTTTTATGTAGATATTTAATATTTTTAGTGGTACCTATAATTAAAAAAAACAAAATCACTAAAAATCATGGAACATTTTTTTATTAGAACCAACTGCAAACTTTATTTTTATATAACTTTTTTTATAGAAACAAACACTACGATTTACAATTAAATCATAGTTTAAAATTTTGTGCTGTAATACAATTTCAGACGATTTTCACCCAGTTCCAAAAACATTAATCTTTGTTATTAGAATTTATGAATTTAGAACATAAGAGCCTTAAGTCGTTATGAAACCTTAATGGACTTTTGTGCAACTAGGTGTTAACCTACCACTTTTATATGTCTATTGATGATATGGAATATATTGATTAAGAAATTTTTCATAGTTGGGATTCGTTATTTTTCAGTTTATTAATTACTCACACAAACACCCACAATATCCCACCGAAAACATTTCATGCGAAATGTTGCCAAGACAACACCATATGGTTCTAACACTAGCTTCCCTATGATAATTAATGGTTATTTAAGATACGAGTGCGGAAAGTAAGGTTTTACGAATAAGGGCCAGATTGAAAACGCGAGCGTAGCGAGGGTTTTCATTGGTACGAATTCGAAAAACCTTTTACGCTCAAGTTTCTTACAACATTTTTTAATGCTTTTTGCGAGGAAATAAAACAAATATATAGGTTAATAAAACTAAGTATGTATTAAAGGTAAAAATTATTTGTTAAAATTAAACGTGATATTTGAACATGTTTTCGTGTCATACATTTTTATTTGAAAATATTCGTTCTAGGCTCCTTGAAATACTTTTGCCTCTAAAGTTTGACATATTTTCATCAATTTTATTTAAATTTCTTTGGTGCTCGGCCAAAAAAATTAAAAAAATACTTTTAAGCAAGTGTGCCGTAAAGGATTTCAGTACATTTTTATTTAACACGTGTTTAAAGACTCACTTTCGGTGTTTACAATGGATTAAAAAAATAGCGCTTTATGAGCATTGCATTGAAAAAGATTATTATTGGACCTAGTCAATTTAATTTAATTTCGTCATTTCCACTTATATTTTTCTATTAACGCTTTTGTTTTCGATAACTAGCGACACCTATGAGGCTTCGTCAACTTCACGTTTCAAATATAATGCTCTATAACTGTGTAGAGAAAGCGGACCGTTTGCTTTATGGAGAGTTTATATTGACTGAAGTTGACTAGATGTCACTATTGTTATATAATTTTTGTTTATACTTATATTTTATTAAATATATAATTATTATATTTTCTCAATTTTGCATTCATAATGCTATACTGGAAAATATTCTTAATGAAAAATTCTTAAAAAATCTACCTAACCCTGTTACTCTGAAATGGGACACGAACTTACGACCTTTCGCAATCCAGGCGACTCCTGTAACCACTGACCTACCAAGAACCAGGGGTGCGACCGCCTAACTCATGGACGTAGCCGTAGTCGTAGCTATAACCTACGATTTCTCGATATTTCTTATGAATCTGTTTATATTCTTTTAAAATTAATTGTTTTTTTAATTATTTACATATTTAATCAATGCTTTTAGTTGTTTTTGTTTGCTGAATTATTAAAGTTAAACGAAATTTACAAAATGTCGAATTTATACAAACAATGCTATTTCGAAAAGACAAACAAACCAAAATGTTTGATAAAATATATAAATAAAAAAAAAACAATGAATTTTAAAAGAATATAAACAGATTCATAAGAAATATCGATAAAGCGTAGGTTATAGTTACGACTACGACTACGTCCATGAGTTAGGCGGTCGCGCCCCACGTGGACAAAAGTGAAAATACACTCACTAGCAGCGAAAAGTAATAAGTGCTTAAAAAATTCGTCAGTCCTGTCAGGTCCTGAGCTAAGTAGTTAGAGCAGCCGCCCGGATTGCGAAGAGTCCTATGTCAGAGTACCTGGGGCTAGTGAATTTATTTACCTTTAAGCATTATTCATTGAAATTATTCCGATTTTTCGAATCCCAAGCTTAATACATTGAACAACTTGTTATGTAAAAGCTTTACAATGCAAATGTCTCTGTGGTTCTCAATACATTTTAAATGAAATGTATAACAATTTTACATGAACAAGTATTATTTTTTATTTGAGTATCAATTCTGAATCGGCTTTAATGAAAAATGTTAGTAATTAATTGGCCTTATAAACAATTTTTAAAATTTACAAAAGAAGAATTTATGTTGTCATTGAACTTAAATTATCATAAAATAATCTAATTTATTAAATTTTATTAATTTTGCATTCGCTGAAATTGAAAATATTATCAATGGAAAATGATTAAAAATCCACCTTTCACAAACCGGGCAACTGCTCTAACCACTAAGCTACCTAGAACCTAATAGGATTGCGAAAGATCGTGGGTTCGATTGCCATCTCAGAGTACCAGGATTGAGGCCTTTTTTAACATTCATTCATTCATTCATTATTAATATTATTCAAAAAACTCGAACTATCGTCGTCTTTCAAGTAGGTTCAATTCCCGGTTGAGCCAGATAGAATAATTGTTTCATATCTTGGTAATTAGAATTTGTGTACATACATACACAGCAGCACAGCAGGTCACAAAATATCTGTTTGCAATAAATTTTGGACTTAATAATCAATGAATCAAAGCTTAAATTGGATTAAAGTTCGAATGGTAGCATCACTGCTTTTAAGTTAACAATAAATTGGAGATATGTCATAGTTTTGGCTAACCTTATGTGCCGCTGGGTGTACTTTATTCTAATAGTAACCGGATGAGAGATAGGCTTTTTTAATAATATAAATATGTCATATTAAAATTAAATTATACATTTTAAACCTTTGAAAAATATTAGCAAATTATAAAATATATGCTATGAAATGTCACACAAAATAAAGTGTCTAGATACTTTTAATACTTTAGGCGTCAAAAATAATAAAATCTCGTTAAACAAAGAAAACCCATAATAATTAGGATACTTTACTACCTCATTTGAGAGCCAATTGGAACGAACTAATTGAAACGAAAATCCAAGCTTTAAAATTTAACGGTGTGTCGATAACGTTTAGGGCCCTCACTAAGCTTTAATTATCGCCCGACAAAATGTCAATAAACCTGACGTTCGAACGTTTTTTCTCCCCTTTCTAATTTGTTAGCCCTAAAATCGCAGCCCTACATTTTATAAACCATCCAGTATAATTTAACCCACCTACCCTCTCCCGTTGCGCGTCAAACAGAAACATGTAAGTAGCGGTCCAAGCGATTGTAAAGCTCTCGATAAAATGGACGGGGTTCCATACATTGGAAAGGGTAGCACAAAGTTAGCTCGACTCGGAGCTCACACCGCTGTCACCTTTGTCTGCGATCGAACAAAACAGATGGCGTTAGTATAGCCAAATTTTATAATCTGTTCCGTTTCAAGCATACCTATGTTTTTAATGCAGTACCTTTATTTGTCCACACAACAAAAAGTGAATGTGAGTACACAATATGCAATGTATTCTAAATCAGTAATATTTCAAAAAAAATGGTACGAAAGTTAAAATTAACATATTCTTGAACAAATTGAACTCTATGTAATAAATATTTTTAACGCACGGTGTATTTGAATATAAATCGCTGTCAAAAATCAGTTTCAGGGTAAAAAAACACTGTTGAAGCACTACAAGCCAATAATTTTGAAAATATTTAATTGTACCAGACATGAAACGAAACGCAGCTCGCCGGCCGGGACGACAACGCTTGCCCGGGGTATATGATTAGTCGTGTGCGCGCAACCAACGCGCCAGTATCGCGCTATCTCCGCGCCGCTTCAAGACAGAACAAAATAACCAATCCATCACAATAACCTTCCCATATCACCATTCTAATGAGTATTTGTGTATGAAATAGTGTCTGTTCTATTAAAAAAAAGTGATTTCACCGGTGCAAGTGTTGATTACCATGGAGCTTTCCTCGGCGTTGTAACTTGAACTATTGATATGAAACAACATTTTGTAAATCGACGGTGCCAGTTGGATATTAATCGGTAATGTGTTGTCAACAACAGATCAGATAGTGTTTTCTGATATATTTTCGCTACCGTAAAGGGTTGGGTTTCCAATGGAATATGCTAATGAGCAGGTTTCTTTTCGCCCGCAAACAAAAAGCTCTGCACTAGACACTGCAGTGCCCATTTGTGTTGCAAATTTTTTGGTTCGCATGCTTATTTTGATTTACAACCGCGGCGTAATCGTTCTAGTATTGTGATACGGTTACTTTTCAGTCTCCAAAGGTGGAGCGTATTGTTTTATCAATTATGTAAGTAATATTATGAAAGATCTATTGACATTTAATTCAGTTTATAATAGTGTCTTCATTATTATTTTTATAGTTGATTCGTCTCTTTCTTTTATTCAATCTATCTATGCTTATTTTACTTTAAAAGTGACTTTCTCATTGACACGTAAGTGAAAAATAGTTCTTTGTATTTTTAATTATTATTTTAGTCATATTTATTACCGAACAACTCAGTCACTTTTGTTGTAACTTAAATATTTCCTATCAACATAGTATTTATGAATAAATCAATAAATTATTTTAACGTTGTTATGAACATAGCAATTCCATTTAAATTTATATACACTTGTATTCGTCCTCTCCCATTGCCAGTCAGTACTAAACTGCTATTTCCTTTGTGCAGA